TTTAGTGGAAAATGGAAGCCACACAAACCAAAATACTTTTTTGTTCTTTTGTAGTGCAATACATTAAAATAAAAAAAAATAAAAACTTTGCCGGGTCAAGGAGAAGCAGTGCATGATCAACAAAAATGCTTCCATTTATATTAAACTAATTAAATTGCCAGCGCATCGTGGGGTGTGAAATTAGTGTATTTGTAAACATTTTTTTTTAAAAAAATAAAAAATAATATCGAGATTATAATCATAACTTTCATAAGGCATACATGTAAAAGTTATGTAAGCAAATGCAAGGAAAATATTTATTTATATACGAAAATAAGATTTAAAAATTATTCCAAGATATAATTCTAGTTTTATTACACTCCATATATAGTATGATTAAAATATGTAACGCAAGTCCTCACACCTTTGGCTCTTGTTTAAATGTTATTCAGGAAAAATTTTGTCCGCACTTAGCGATCATAACATTAATCATAGACAATGTGTAAGGAAAAATCCTTATGAAAAACTTGAGATGTTTTTGTTTGAAATTCGGCCTAAAAGTTTCAAAACTTTATATATTTTTGTCTGAAGTTGAAATATGGAGATGGGTTAAAAAGAAAGTACGACAACATGATGTAATTTGAAAATGTTTTTCTACTAATTGCAAGATTGATGATAGTTATTGCTTTCTCTAAATACCCACAAGTCCTAAACACTCACCACAAGTCAGAGGATATTAAAATTGATCTCATCCTCAAATCACTCATCAGAAGGAGTCTCATTATGATCCACTTCGTTGAGGTTTTGATACTTGTAATACCAAGCACATGTTACATAGTAACCAAAGTTCACTACTCCCCCTATAACCAATATCCAGTACACATTATCCAGCCTTCCATTATTTATGTTACCTGGTAACCATGTACTTGTCTTTCTAACAACATCAATTAGAGCAGTAGCCAAGTAAAATGATATAGCAAGAATCACGGAAATCATCGCAGTCGCCATGTTCTTTAAGGTTATTGGGAACTCTTGGTAGTACAATGATACTTGTCCAGGATAATGAAATGCCTCCGCGATACCATTAAGTGCTAATTGTGGCACAAGCCATAAAACTGACATTGCCACAATATTGGAACCTTCATTTGATTTTGCTACATTTAGTCTCTTTGACTCGACTAAGGCTGAGACAACCATGCTCACAAAATTGAGCACGTGTCCAATCCCAATTCTCTGGAGAGGCGTAAGTGATTTGCCTGTCAAATTCTTCCACGTAGGTAAAACAATTTTATCGAACAGGGCGAGGAATAGAGCAGTAGATATGAGGACAAAAACGAATACAGATCCAGCTGGGATTTGGAAATTGCGTCCTATGTGGCGGTCCATTGCTAAGGCTTGAAGGATTGACAAACTAAATAGCACGCCAACTGTTGTGCCAAGAAAAAAACTAGTTGACCAAAGTGGTAAGATTTTAATTAAGGCTTTGAAATCCTCTACTTCTTGTACTGAACAAAGTCTCCATCGATTACTTGTTGAACCATCTGATTTTACGTCACCTTCACTTATAATAGCGGCATGGTTCAAACACCTGCATCAGATCCCATAACATTGTTATCATGCAAAAGATACTCAATGTAAAGCAAGTGCACGTGTGCCCAACTTATCACTAAATATGGAACTTAATTGCTA